GGGGGGGCGGAGAGGAAGTGAGGCACAGGTTGGTATGGGAGGGGACACCTGCCACTTCGTTTAAGCCATTTCCTGGTTAACCAATTAAATGGGATTTTACATTCCTTAGAAAGAACAAGTTTAAAATTACTTTGCCAAGTTAAATATTTTCAAGAGGGCAGCTATAAGGCAGGTCTGTAAAAAGGGGAAGAAGAGCAACCTGGGGAACTACAGATCAGTCAGCTTAATTTCAGTACCCAGAAAGATAATGGAATAAATAATAAAGCAATCAGTTGGCAAACAACTAGAAAATAATAAGGTGCTAACTGATAACAAGGATTTGTCAAACCAACCTAATAGCTTTCTTTGAAATGGTAACAAGCCTCGTGGATGGAGAGAAGCAATATATGTGGTATATCTTGACCTTTGTAAGGCTTTTGATAATATCTTGTATGAACTTCTCATAAATAAACTAGGCAAATAAAGCTGAGATAGAGCTACTAAATCATGAGTGCATATTTGGTTGGAAAAGTGCTCCCAGGCCACATGTATACTTACTGGCGGATGGACACTCCAGAGGTCCTCTGGCGTTTGATCCTCTGGCGTTTGATTGAACAGGTGTAGTATAGATCCGTAACTCAAATGCTGAGGGCATCTCCAGCCTGCACAGGTACAGCTGCTCCTCACAAGGAATAAGGGAAGCAGAGGAAGTGTTCACTCTTGTCAGCCTCTCACTGTGTGAATGGTGTGGAAATGCGATTCAAGATACGTTGACTTCAGCTATGTAATTAATGTAGCTGGAGTTGCATATCTTACTTCAACCTCCTGCTGTAGCGTAGACCAGGCCCTAGAGAGTAGTTATCAAGTTTCAGAGTTAAGCTCGCAGGGCATATTGAGTGGGATCCCACAGGGATTGGTCCTGGGTCCAGTTCAGTATCTTCATAAACTATTTAGATAATCACATGGAGAGTACACTTATAAACTTTGTGGGAGGGGTTGCAAGTGTTTTGGAAGTTATGACTAAAATTGAAAATTATCAGAACAAATTGGAGAAGTGGTTTGAAATAAACAGGATGTACTTCAAGAAGGACAAATGCGAAGTACGTCACTTAGGAAGGAAAAATCAATCGCGCTATACAAAAGAGGAAAGGACTGCTTAGGAAGGAATACTTTGGAAAGAGATGTGGGGGTTAGTGGTTCACAAGTGTAACACTTGCAAAAAAAGCGAACATCATTCTGGAATGTATTAGCAGGTGTGTTGTAAGCAAGTCCCAAGTAGTAATTCTACCACTCTACGCTATGTCGATAAGGCCTCAACTAGAGTAATGGGTCCAGTTCTGGGAACTACATTTCAGGAAAAATGTGAACAAATGGGAGAAGTCCAGAAGAGAGCAATAAAAAAGTACTAGAAAACATGACTTGAGAGGGATGATTTAAAAACTTGGGTTTTAGTCTGAAGAAAAGAAGAATGAGGGCGCATGATACATTTTAAAGTACATAAAGATTGTTACAAGGAAGAAGATGACAAATCGTTCTTACCCTCCAAGGATAGGACAAGAAGCAATGAGCTTAAACTTCAGCAAAAGAGGTTTAGGTTGTACATTAGGAAAAACTCGGTTGGTGTAGTTAAACATAGGAACAAATTGCCGAGGGAGATAGTGGAATGTCTGTTATTGTAGATTAAGAACAAGTTATACAAATACACATCCGTCAGGAATGGTCTTATTCTTTAGGCCAGGTCTACTCTACACCTGGAAGGTTGGTTTAAGGTATGCAACTCCAGCTATGTAAACAATGTAGCTGGAGTCGGCATATCTTAAGCCGAGCTTGGCACCGTCTTCACAGTGGAAAGTTGATGGGAGCAAATGTTCCCACCAGCTTCCCTTTGCAGATCAGACGTGCCCTCAGCATTCGATTTAGCGAGTCTTAACTAGACCCGCTAAATTGAATGCCAGAAGATCAATCTCTGGCGCGTAAGTATAAATGTGACCTTAACCCTGACTGGAGGGGCTAGATGAGATGACCTATTGAGGTCCCTTTTGGTCCTAAACTTAAATTATTCTATAAGAAAGAATTGGTGAATTGCGGGTAAGGAAACAGGCTACTAAAATACTGAATGATCCTTGAATTAATAACTCCTTTAAAAAGAACTTTTATTGGATGTATTGCTCCAAATAAACATTTTCTATTTTGAAGAAAATCTTCAAGTGCTTATGAAAAGTGAACCGTTGATAGTGTCACTGAATGATAATATCTTCGTATCATGCAACATCTCTGGGTATGATACACCGGAACTGGATATCAAGAAGGTGGGAGTTACCTGGTACTATAAGACAGACAATGCAGACACTGAAACAAAAATATTCATATTTCATACTGGAGAGCATATTCCCTTTAGAAAAGGAGCCAGCATGTCTGACAGTTACCTGAAAAGAGGAAATGCTGCACTCTCTCTTCCGCAGATACAGTTTAAGGATGCGGGAATATATAAGTGTTCTGTTATTGTCACCCCTTCTGAGGCTCATGGAACATCTATTTTACAGGTAGTTGGTAAGTGATTATATTATGGCATATTCTACATACTGTGTGATAGGAACCTGAAAGCAGAAGAGTTGAATATAAGAGTGCAGCATAGTTGTACCATTTTATTCACCCCACTAAGCTTCTGTGGAGGTGTGGGCATTGCATGATCAGTGGAATAGCCCAAGAAATTGAGTAAGTTGGCAGTAGTAACTTCAGGAGTGTGACAAGTACAGCATACCCTATCTAGGGAACTTACCTGAAAATTAGCAATCTTCATTAAGCTAAGATCTTTGGGGTAGTTTCTATATTTCTCCATTTTAGGTGCCTTTGAGAGAGTATACTCCCTATTCCTCATTCACTGTCATTTTCATTATTCAAACTTTAGCCTTGCAGTGACATTTTCAACATCCAGGCATGCTCTGAATCTGCGAGGCTGTAATAATTCTGTATATATTTTATTTACAAAGAGCAGAGAACAAGAATATCACCAAAGTCCTAATGAAAAGTAGTGCTGTTTATCTTCCAGGTAATATTCCCTACTATGTTCATGTTTATGAGAAAACATGACTAGATTAGGAGAGAAAAACCCAATGAAACATTGCATATATCAGACATTCGGGTAATGGGTGTGCTACAACAAAACTAATACTATTAAAGTCTCGGCATAGCTATGTTTATAACTATCATCTAACTTTTCTCTCCATACAGCTCAACCAACTGTCAACGTGTTTCCAAAAGAAGTTACAATAGAAAGCGAGAAGGAAAGGACCCTGTCGTGTGAAGTCAATAAATTCTATCCAAATTCAGTTGACATTAAGTGGAAGAAGATTTCAAGGAACAACCAGGACCATCATGTAGCAGCAGAGGATATCTGTACAGGAGCCTCTGTAGAAAACAAAGATGGCACATTTAATGTCACTAGTAAATTAAGGTTGCAACCATCTTTGCAAGATAATGGAAATATATATAGCTGTATCGTGAGTCATGTAACATTGCCTGCCAAGTTACTTCTCAACATCACCTTGACTGTCACAGGTATCCACCCCCTTTAGGGTCTTACACCCTTTCCTTCAACATGTCATGTGTTTCAGAATGCTGTGGCTATACCTCTTTTAGGAGAAGTTGAATCACGTTAACCTTTTGTTATCCTTGGGCTGCAGTAATAGCTAGTGTCACTTAAGAGCGAGAGCTGGGCAGGAGAGCAGGCCATGCAATGACAGTCAGAGAAACAGCTAGCCTGCTGATAGGCCAGCCAGAAATGTACTGAGAGGAGAAGGAAAGCTAGTGCTGTGAAAAGAAGCAGTTGAAACATGTTTGCACCACTGACATTTTTGGAAATTAGAGGTGTTCCAGGTGCACCTTCTTACTGGGCATGTATTTCTGGTGGCAGGAAGAGATGACAGTGTTTTAGTATCTCTTTCAGCTCACTGAGTTGATCCAGACCTGTCTTTAACCAAAGGCTTTTCTTAATCCTACTATGCATGACAACACATTTTTGTTGTCGTCATCCTTGGAAGTATGAAAACATGTTTTAAATGGGCATTTCAGTACCCTTAGTGGTCTCTTTGAATGCTCTGATTGGCCATAGCCAAACATACCTGGCATTTATTCTGTGGTCTCTTTAGTAGTTCAATGGACAATAATTTTGGCCCTACTTTAACTTCCATATGACATTTCAAACATTCAGGAAGGAAATGAAAGAAGATATTTTGTCACTAATTTTTTGTGTGTTAAATATAAGCAAGCAGAGAATCATCTATATTTTCTTTGTTTTTTCATTCACAGCCCCGAAGTCAGATTTGAACAGTATAATTGGAGCAGTCATTGGAACAATAATAGCCTGTATTATTGTGCTTGGTGTAAGTACCTACGTGTACAATAAGCGTTTTAAGAAAAGTAAGTACATAGATTTAAAGGTGTACTGTACTAATGATATCTTCATGGAAACTAATAAGCCCTTCTGAATATTAGAATTCTAAACTTAGCGCTAGTGACAAACTAACAAGGAACAGTTTATCAGAATGCTCTTTATTCAGCTATCAGTTAATTGATGGTTAGTCTAGTCTCCCAAAAGCACACCATGCTTTTGTTCCCCTATATCTCCAAATCCCCATTTTCACTAAATGTTTTCTGAAGCCCTTTGGGGAAAAAAATTAGGGGTCGTTTTGTATTTGACAAAAACATTTGTAGCAAATTGGAATATGTGATTGATATGCTATCAATCATGAGAAGTGACAGGCTTTGTAAGAAATGCTCTGCCTTCATATACTTTCACAAAAGGATTTGCTCTTCAAAGTTAACTGGTATTAATTTATTAGCTGAGAGTGTCATATTGAAATCTTCCACATACAAACTCAGCATCAGTAGAATTGGAACAAACTTAAAGTGATAACTTTTAACAATATTATGAGCGTTAGTTGGTACTAATTGTAAAGAAAAAGAATACTGACACACACATAAAAAGGAAGATGTAACTCTTGCTCTGATAATCTTCCATGAAAAAGTTCATGGAAAGACTGAAAATTTGAAGGCAGTATGTGTTTGGCCATATAGTCACTTATCTGGCAAGGACTGTGGATAGGAAACAACAACTGGGCCATTTCAATCAAGGGAACTCAAATGTACAGTATATTAAAAAATACAGCATTGGTAAAGATAATTAGTTTTGATAAGCACAGTACTCTGGCACAGTGGTTCTCAGAGTGTGGTCCACAGACCACTAGTGGTCTGCAGCTGCCTGTCTGCGGGAAGGACGGTCCAAAATGGCGTTGCTCTAACCACCACCCTGTGGGCCGGGGCCTGGCTGCTTGCTCCCCTGCTGGCCTGGGCAAGCATGATGTCTCCCAACAGCAGCCCAGCCCCACCGACGGCCCCTCGTTGGTGGCTACAGCTCACATGGCAGCATTCCCTGAGTTCCAGCACAGAGTGGCAGCTGCCTAGTGAGCCCCTGCCATCCCTGCCCCACTGTCTCTGGGTTGCTTGTTTGTCACAGCGATGGCCACTGCCAGGAATGGCTGGTGCTAGGGGGCTGCCCAGGAGCGAGGCTAAACCAGGGGCTCCACCTGAAACAAGCTGTGATTCCTGGCCTGTGTAACATGGGTGAGGCAGAGAGTTTCCAACCCCATTGGGCCCTCTGGGAAAGTTGCAAAGAGCAGCAGGGTCATGGGCCTTTGTGGGTGGGGCAGTGGAAGGGATAGGAGGGAAGACGAGACAAGGCAGATCAGAGGCAAAATCTGGTGGAACCACTCCTGGGCCTTGGGGCCTTAGAGTTGCCGCCTCAGCCCCGGCAGGGGGCCGTACAGGGCTCGGCTGAGGCGGGGTGCATGCAGGCTCAGCAGGTCTGCTCTGTGTGCTGCCGCTCTCTCTTCTCCTGCCCATCCCCGCCTCGCGCTCTGCCACTCTCCACGAGCCAAGTCTGGCGGGGATGGTTGGGGCTTTCTTCACCTTCTCCCTCCTCCCCCTCCAAGCGGGACTCCAGAGCTGGTGTTGCAGCCTCGCAACTGCATGGGCTCCCCACTGCAATAGTGGGGGAGGGGCTGAGCTCCCTCACCTTCCCCACCCTGCTGGGGGAATGGCAGTGTGCTCCCCATAGGCTCTCCCCACTGCAAGGGAGCATGAAGCCAGGTAAGCATCCCCCCCTCATGGCCACACATCTGCACCCCAATCCCTCTCACTCACTCCCCTCCCTCCACCAAGACCCCACACTCTCAGCTTGCTCCGACACCCTCCCTTGCGCCTGCTCCCTCCTCCTGGCCAGACACCCTTCTCTCAGCCTGCTTCTATATCCTACCTCCCACCCAGACTTTGCAACCTCTCCCCATTCTGCACGCCATCTCTCTCCCAGATCCTGCACCCCATCCCTACGCCTGCTCCCTCCTCCTGGCCAGACACCCTTCTCTCAGCCTGCTTCTATATCCTACCTCCCACCCAGACTTTGCAACCTCTCCCCATTCTGCACGCCATCTCTCTCCCAGATCCTGCACCCCATCCCTATCCCACTCACTGGCAGCCCAATCCCACACAGTGAACACCTCATTTTTGTTCCCACCCCAGAAAATAAGGGAGTCCATAAAACCAACTATCTCCAGAACCCCAGAAAAGAAAATCTTGCCTATGGGAAGCCCTGAACCTCAGTCCTCCCTGTCCCTTCCCTCGCTGTGTGGGGCTGAAGCCCCAGAGGAGCGAGGTGTCTCAGTTGGGGGCCACATCAGTGAGGGTTGAGCGGTTTTGGAGTTTTTTCGCTTCTCACTTGTGTGGTCCCCAACTGATTTTTCTGTGGCTTAATAGCCCCCGATCCAAAAAAGGTTCCCCACCCCTGCCATAAATAAAGGAAATATTGAAACCTTTTATGTTGGACATAAATTAATATTTTACTTTTTTTAAAACTAGCAGAAATACCCAGCGTTGCTAGGGGAAAATATAGTAAAAGGTGTGATGAATGAACTACGTCAATGACATTAACATAGCATATTTTATTGGAAATACTTTTCTCTTATATATTACTTTAAGTAATTAACATAGCTAGTGATGTGTTTACAAAACGCATTTACATTTAACACATTTCTTAATAACAAAAGGTGTGGTAAATGAACTAGGTAAATTATGTTAACATAACATATTTTATTGGAAATACTTGTTCTGTTATCATAGGGAAAGGATCTCGTAGTTGCAGTTTATGTGACACGCTTAACAGAAGAGTCCAGCAAATGCCTATGATCAGGCACTACTAAAAGTGAATTAGTGGCCCAATTGGGACTCTGGGGGAACCGATTTCGAGATATTACCAATTCAGTTATTTAAGTGAGGAAATCAGTAGTATCTGTGCAAAATTTTGTGTTTCTATGATCAAGTGCTACTAAAAGCTAATTATCAGTGGGCCCAATTGGGGCTCTGGAGGAACCAGGGGAACCAATTTCGAGATATAACCAATCCCGTTATTTAAGTTAGGAAATCAGTAGTAGCTGTGCAAAATTTGGTGTTTGTAGCTCTTACCGTTTCTGAGATCTTTCAGGACAAACAAACAAACTTTTGGAAATATTTATAAGAAGATAAAGTTTGATAAACTAACATAAGAAAGTAAAATGCTTAATCTGTTTAATAATTTAAATTAAACCATTCTCCCTAGCTGCAGCACTAGTAAAATGGCTCAGGCGTAATTATGTAATTAACAGTGCATTTCCATTAGCAGCTGGTGGTCAGCAGAAAGATTTACATCGAGCCAGGTGGTCTAAAGGACATAAAGTGTGAGAACCGCTGTTCTAGCATATAGAAATACAGAGCAATGTATGCAGCAGAAATAGAAAAAGTGCAGTTAACTTTTTAGTTTGTGAAGAATGACCACGTGGTGCATAAGAAAACTAACATATTTTTTCCTTGCAGTTCCACCAACAGTAATAGCATTCATAGGGAATGTGGAAATGAAACATTTGGAAGATGCTTTTTTGCATTGTCAGATTTCCAGCTTTCGTCCAAAACCTTTAACTGTGGATTTTTTTCTAAAAAAGTATCAACAAAAACAAAAGGAGAGAATTTATCATTGGAACAGTGAAAAGGGTGACATTGAACAAAATGGGGAAAATGCTGCTCTCCTGACTATGTCAAAGACTTTTCAATTTAAGATATGTTTGAGGTCACTAGATAATGGCACTTTTGAAGTTCCATGTACCATTCGAATAACTCCAGACCTGCATGAACTTGACAAGGCAGAGCTTTCTCTTGAAGTGACACACGAGGCTCTTCAGCCACGTCCTGCTGTTCAAACAACACAACTGAAGGTCATAGGTAAGCAGAGTGCTTTGCAGTATGCAGCATTGAGCTTCTTCAAGTTCAGACACAGTCGAGAGTAAGAATCTAGGAACTTGCACTGAGTCAGACCAATGCTCCATCCAGTTCAGTATCCTGTCTCCTGCAGTGGCCAGGACCAGAGCTTCAGCAGAGTGATCCAGCTGTTTTCCCTTCCTAGTTTCTGAGAGTTTAGGGACAGCCAGAGTGTGGGATTGTGTGTCTGACCGTCTTAGCAAATAGCCCTTAATGGACCTATTCTCCATGAACTTATCTAGTTCTTATTTTAACCTAGTTATACCTTTGGCCATCACAGCATTCCATGTCCTGAGTTCCACAGGTTAACCATGTATTGACCAAAAAAGTACTTCCTCTTTCTTGTATTAAATTTGCTGCCTATATTGTCATCAGATGATCCCTGGTACTTTTATTGTGAGATAGGATAAAATAACACTTCTCTGTTCACTTTTTCCATACTGTTCAAGATTTTATAGACCTCTATCATGTTCTCTCTTATTATCTCTTTTCTAAGATGAGCAGGCCTAATCTTTTAGTAGTCTCCTCTTGCATGAAAGCTGTTCTATAGCTGATCATCTTTGTTGCTATTCTCTGAACTTTTTCCAATTACATTGTATCCTTTTTGTAATGGGGCAACCAGAACTGGATACAGTATTCAAGGCTTGGGCACAATATGGTTTTATGTAGTGGCATTGTAATATTTTCCATCTTATTTTCTATCCCTTTCCAGGTACTTCCTAATAATCTGTTAGGTTTTTTTTATCACTGCTATGCATTGAGTTGAAGATTTCAGAGAGCTGTCCCTAAGGACTGCAAGATCTCTTTCTGGAGTGGTAACAACAAATTTAGACCCGTATTTTTTTTTTTACAGATTACATTACTTTGCATTTTTCTATGTTGAATATTATCTGCCATTTTGTTATCCAGTCACCTGGTTTTCTGAGATCCCTTTGTAACTCTTTGCAATCAGCTTTGGATCTAATTATCTTGAATAATTTGGTAATTGTTTTTGTTGACAGTTTCTTAGCTGTCATTATAATAAAATATTTCTTCTCAAAGGGTACGTCTACACTACATGCCTCTGTCGGCAGAGGCATGTAGATTAGGGTTGTAGGCAAAGGCAAATGAAGCCACGATTTAAATGATCGCGGCTTCCTTTACATTTACATGGCTGCCGCGCGGAGCCGACAAACAGCTGATCGGCTGGTTGTCAGCTCGCCGTTAGTCTGGACGTCCCCCCTGTCGACATCAAAGCCCTTTGTCGGCAGCCCCAGTAAACCTCATCCCACGAGGAATAACGGGGCTGCTGACAAAGGGCTTTGATGTCGACAGGGGGAACGTCCAGACTAACGGCGAGCTGACAACCAGCCGATCAGCTGTTTGTCGGCTCCGCGCGGCAGCCATGTAAATGTAAAGGAAGCCGCGATCATTTAAATCGTGGCTTCATTTGCCTTTGCCTACAACCCTAATCTACATGCCTCTGCCGACAGAGGCATGTAGTCTAGACACAGCCCAAATGACTATTGTATCTTCACAATGCTAAGCCAGCTGATAGAAAATTTCAGTATTTCACTTTCCCTTTTCAATTCATGCCATTTTGAGACTATGTTTCTGATGTTTAAGCACTATTTGCTGTGCCCTAAAGTCCCTTTCCTAGATGATCTGTGGCTTTAGTTATTGATACATGGTGTTGATGATAGTAACCTGTGTGGTAATGTTACTGTCTCAGGACAGAATTCTTAGGCATCATCTCACATTTTCTGCAGAACTTGTAAAGTCACATGGTGTTTCCAAGAATCCCAAATGAAAACTAGGGAAACGTGTATTTGAGAATGAGAGACCATTTTAAGTATTCAGAAGATATGAAAATTTTGCCTTAGAAAACTTAAAGGTTACACTTGAGATATACGTAGAGTCAAGATACCAATAGAGATGCAGTGATGTTTGCCTTGGAAACATATTGGCCTGTGCATCATGCTGGCAAGGCACCCATAGAGGACATGGTCTTTGACATGTTAAAATTAAAGTGGCTTCTTTAATCAGAGTAGATTACTAGCTCTCATTTAAAACCAGAGATGTCCGTATTTTGGCACCATACAGCAGAACTTTTCTACTGTGTCAACATGGGTGAGTTTAGCTGCTTAAGATAGATTGGCATAACATTTTCAGTTCTGGGCAGGTTTAGATAGAGAATTATTTTTTCCTGTAGACCTTAACATTACATTCTTGCTTTCAAGTTCTTTGTAGCTTAATTGATCTTTTGTGTCTGCTCCTGAAATTTAGCACGTTGGGTCTAGTCATGCTTTCTCAAATTGATTGACTGCTTAGAAAAACAGATGTATTATCATGTGTAGTTATAGATAAAATGCATGAATGAAGGAACTTTCTGCCTAAAGTTAGAGGTAGCCATATATAATGTCTGCTTTCAGCTCAATATGCAATACTGATATATGTCCAAAAGAATTTTTGTGGGCCGTGGGGTAACTTTTTCCTAAATAAACATAAAAAATGTCACTTGCAAATACATGTAGAAAGTTGCAGAGTCTTGATTTAAAACTTTTTTACATTTATTTTGTGATTATCTTTTAAGTTCACTTTTAGATGTACCTGAGCTTGGTATTTTATTTGGCCTACTGTGCCATAGTATTTGAGTGAGTTATGAAACTTAGGAAAATGTGTTTGCCTTTGTAAAACCTCAGTAGCTGAAATTTTATGAGTTGCCCCTAGCATGAGAACTCTATGAAAATGTCAGCAGTGATTACTCCCTGTCTCCCATGTGGGGAAAGGCTAATTTGTGTTCATGAGTTTACAGCAAATTCTGACAGGAGAGGTGTGACATTGTGGTACATGAAGGGTTTGGGTCATTCCCAATCCCAATTTGAACACTGGTCTACAAATTTAATTTGGGGCCTCTAAAGTTTGTTCAGTAGATACTCATGTATGCTGAGTGTTAAGTCTGAAGATAGCAATGGGATGGATGTGATGGAAGAATCTGAACATAAGGCCTCCTGCAAGATGCTCAGCATCTCCCAGCCCCATCGATTTATGTGTTGGAGTAGATGGTGCTCAGTATCTTACAGGATTGGTCATGTGCTGATAATCACATTTTTAAAAGCCGATTCCTGTTTTATGTGCAAATCTCATTGTTTTCCTGTCTAGCCATGCCAGTGCTGGATCCAGTCCTGTGTTCTACAGATGTGCCAAGACCAGATGAGTCTATAACTTTGACTTGCAGAATTCATTCTTTCTTCCCTAAAACAATTGAATTGGTTTGGTATAAAGACAATGATCAAGTGCCAGAGGAACCCTTCATTAGCAAGGTGGAAACGGGGACAGATGGACTTTTCTTCTGCACCAGCAGCTTAAAATTACACCTTACAGTTGGGGATATAGGAAAGAGATTCATATGTAAAGCTAAACTTAAAGGCTCACACCAGTACAAAGAATCTTTTTGGAAGCTGGAAAATTTGAGTAAGTTATTCCTCAAGCTATTCTTTTAGTAGAATGAAGACTGTAACTGTTGTATAGACCTAGAGCTGCTAGATCTCTGCACGAGGTGAATTTCATCAAAAGGCCACATTCCCAGTAGGAAGAGGGGTATATTTTTACATGTTAATATACTGTTTAAAATCCTGTGGTAGACAAGACAGTTGTAATTTTAATAAGTAGGAGCTTTGGCGTCATCTCAGTGAGCTAACATATTAAAATATGGATTTTTACACATGTAAAAACCCCAAATATACCATGTTTTTTCTCAGACAAGGCCTTACTGTCTTATCTCTAGGCCAAATCTTACACTCCTTATGTAGGCAAAATGCCCTTTGAAATCACTGCAGATCTTACCTAAAAATTGAGCATGTAAGTTCAGGATCACGTTTTATACTTTTACTGTCTAAAAAAGAAAACCAAGAACAAACCCCTTCCCCAGAGTTTTCTTTAAAATTCAGTGTTTGTTTAAGTTACCAACATTTCTTTTCTAATCCCAGACTGATAACTGAAACTTTGCATGTACAGACCTCAGGGAGGTTGGGGATATGTGTAGGCTACTGTATAGAAATGTGGCATATTTTACTTTCTGAAGCATTCCTCTGGGAAATCTACTGTATATTATATATAAAACAAGATGCCAAATAATGAAACAGACTTCCATAGAGGTAACACTTCTGTTTCTGACAGAACATGCTATTTCTTACAGTACTGGATCATTTGGAGTCTCTTATCTCTCCCTCTCAGTTTTATTCTCATTTTCATCTGCTATTTTTCTCCTTACTCTTCTGTTACTCACATGCAGTTGTTAAAATCTTTGTTGTCTATGGGAACACTACTGTGAATGTCTCTAATGAATAGAAACACAGCAGGGTCTGTGCTTTTGCTTCTGTTTTCTCTCATCCCCCTAATCATTGTACTTGTCCCTTATTGTTTTATTTGCAGTATTTACTCCAAATGTCTCTAACATTGTATGTGAGCCCTGTACCCCTGAGAACGGGAAAGCTGTCATGTTATCTTGCCAGGTGAGAGATTACTACCCAGAGCAGTGTCAAGTGCGCTGGTTGAGAGGGTTTGAAGAATTAATTAAGGCTGCAGTTAAAACACAGGATCCTCAGCTGGATGCAGCAACAAATCTGTACCACCAAGAAAGTCAAGTAACATTTACAGCTGAACCTGCGGACCATACAACAGAGTTCTTTATTGAAGTCAGCCATTGCGACAAAACTATAAGACGGTCCCATCCCCTCATGTTAAAAGGTGACTATTTAATCGTCTGTTTCTTTGTGCAAGGGACTCCTGTTCTCCCTTTTTGTCTTCTTAATACTTTATGGGAATGGCACAGGTCTAGAGCAGAAGTTGATGCTGTTTGGATGCCTGTAGATGTTTGGTTAGTTGCTCAGAAGGAACACTGTGTGGTGCTTCTCTCCTGGCTATTTTAGCCCCAGCATATCTCCTCCCTGGCTAAAGTTCCTTACCCCACTAAGCTGAATTGTGGTGTGAGGATAAGGAGTAAGCATGCAGTTGAAATGTTGTTCCTGCCCTCTTCCCCACCCCATCTGACTCCACCAGATTTTGTTCCCTTCCCTTTGTATGTAGATGGTAGAATAGAACACAGGCTACGTCTACACTGGCATGATTTTCCAAAAATGCTTTTAACGGAAAAATTTTCCGTTAAAAGAATTTTCGGAAAAGCACGTCTAGATTGGCAGGATGCTTTTCCGCAACAGCACTTTTTGCGGAAAAGCGTCCGTGGCCAATCTAGACGCATTTTTCCGCAAAAAAGCCCTGATGGCCATTTTTACGATCGGGGCTTTTTTTGCGGAAAACAGTACTGTGCTATTTATACTGGCCCTCTTGCGCAAATGATTTGCACAAGAGGGCTTTTGCCCGAACGGGAGCAGCACAGTATTTCCGCAAGAACACTGACAATCTTACATGAGATCGTCAGTGTTCTTGCGGAAATTCAAACGGCCAGTGTAGACAGCTGGCAAGTTTTTCTGCAAAATCAGATGATTTTGTGGAAAAACTTGCCAGTCTAGACACAGCCACAGTGTTTTAATCAAGTAGAACACATACCTGTCCAAGTATCAATATCCAACAGATTTCTCACAAGCAACCCTACAATAACACACCAATGTGTTTTTTCCCTATCTTGCACAATCAGTTAAAAAAAAAAGATTTAGGTTCAGAGTCTCAAAACCACTGAGAGGATTTGGATACTTCATTGCCATTAACTTTTTAATGGGAAGTAGGTGTCTAAACACCTTAAGTAAATTTGAAAATCTCAGGCTTAAGAGACTATTGAAAGCTTGAAACATTCATGAGCAGCAGTGAGAAAACAGAATTCTCAGTAGTTGTGGAATGTGTCCTTTGTGTTTTTTTGAAGTAACTGGAGCTCTACTAGAAAGCAATAGAGGAACTATTTTGTGGAAAAGCTCACTAGCTGAACAGTTATTGAGATGTATATAAATTAGGGGGTCAAACTTCACAACTTTGTGTAGGCCAAGCTATTGCACACACCAGGGCCCCCTTGCATCACTCCATTCTCTACCACAATCTCCCCATACAATCTCCCTCCATTCACCCTTCCCCATGGTTCTCTCCATTTTCTCCCCTTCTGAAATCCCCCATTTTCCCATTCCAAAGGCTCTGGGTGTACCCTCACTCTTTCTCGCTCCCTACTCCCCTCTTCCACTCCATGCCAGCAGCTCTGGGGGCCACTTTATTCCCCTCTCACCATTTTTATGTTTTTGTTATTCTGCCCATTCTGTCTGGGACATAAGACATTCAGGGTGTCATCATATTAAACTTTCTTGGGAAGATGGGCAGGGCTTAGGTGGTGGTGGAGTATCAGGCTGGAATGAGTTAATGGGTGCCAACAACTGATCATTGAAGCTATAGACAGTTAGATAAATGTCTGACACTGTTGGGTGCCATTATCTGGTTAGCACAGACATCTTCATGCATCCCCTTTCCGATTTTCCATTTTTCACCAAAATCAATAGCATTCTGCCCACTGATGTCTGTATCATTCCCCGAAATTTTGGAATTGAGCAGATGCAGCATTTAAGAGTTCTTGTATTATATCCAGACAAAACCAGAGAATTGTCATTACACTAGGTGTAGGACCTCACTTCCCTTGGCCAATTATATACGTGTATTTAGGGGTGATGCAAGATTATTTTTGTAATATGTCAAAACTACTAACTGCACAGTCACTTTCTTAACTCTGACCCTTTGTTTTACATTTGGGTGTATTGGATCCATTCGCTATCAAGTTCATGGTTTATTTTACATAATTCTCCTTACTCTCCTCCCGTATATATTAAACACTAATACAAATAATAGTAGTACCTTCTTAAATATTAATTTTGTTTATGCAGATATAATATATTTCAACCTTTTTTTTGCAGATTTTCCAAGAGTTACAGATCTTGTTCTTAGTCCACATGATGCAGAGTATGGAAAACCCCTCTCCCTTACCTGCAAAATCATGGATTTTTATCCCAGCGATATTCAAGTCCATTGGTTTCAGGAGAATAGTGAGATCAAGAAGGGTTCATCAGTACAAGAGCCAAAGCAGGATTCCGGGGGCCGTTTCTACACATCTTCTGATCTTCAGCTAATACCCACTGCTCTAGATTACGGCAAAAAGATTGGCTTAAGGGTGATACACAAGACTCTGACAAAGCCCATTACAAAAAATGTGTACCTAAAACTCCCAGGTATGTGTAAGAATATGTATAAGAAGTCTGTGAGCCCAGGATAGAACAATGATTGTTAGAGCTTGAGGGGGAAAAAAGTATTTTTGTTTTACAGGCAGAGGGCCAGATCCACCAACCCTGGTGCAGGAGGGTGTACATTATATCTCCTAAAAACAGTGAGATTGGCCTGGCTACTGCTTTTCCTGTTTATATTTTGCCAGGTACCATTTAGGCCCCAATCCTGATTGCATGGGCATCCAACAGACAGAGTATGCTGAAAAGACCTACGGCTAGAGTTTCAAAGGTGTGCCACAAATGCAGCTAGGAATCTAGTAAGATTTACACAAAGCACTTAGATGATATTACTGCCTAATTCCAGTTGCTTTTTAGGGGGAGTTGGGCACTAACCCTGCCAGATGCATTCATCAATCCAACTAAGCATCGTTAAAGACTGAAAACCTTTGTTAGTCTGTCCCCTGGATGATATCCCACTCCTGGCTACTTTTGGTTTAGCAGCAGTCCATAGAACTCCTCCTACAGAGCACACCACTCCAAGGGACTTTTTGCCTCTGGGACCTTATGCATTGATTCACACGGGCGCAAGTTAGAAATGACCCAGGCTAAAGCTTAAAGTTGACATTTAAAATTCCAAATTTGAGACGGATCTGGGCTTCCCTCCTACCAAGAAAATGTGTTGAAAGAAAGGGGTGTGTCTCTTTCTAAGTCTCCTAACATCTATCTTGTCTGTAAATGGTCTGTGTCAGCTAATGCAGGCTCATGGAGCTTGGGATGTGGGGCTGTAAAGCTGTGATGTAGATCTTTGGACTTTGGCTGGAGCCTGGGTTCTGGGGTGCTGCGAGAAAGGGAGGACCTAGAACCCGGGATCCAGGCTGAATCTCAAGATCCATGCTGCACTTTTATAGTCCCATAGCCTCAGCCCCACAAGCTTGAGTTAGCTGACATGGGTCTGCTGTGGCTGCCTAACTGCAAGGTAGACCTACCCTTAGAGTCTCTGCCTCCCCCTTCTGAAGGGAGTGGGATAAGGATTGTGGATGGGTGTTCCTGACACATGTATTCAATAAGGATGCAATAGGATAACAGTTACTGTGAATGGTTACATGCAGACTCTTGCCCAAACCCCCAGGGAGCTGTCTGCCACTTTGTGCTCCCGGGACTGGGGCTGCAGGCAGGAGCAGGTACATGTTAGGAGCTGGCTTATAAGTCTGCTCCTGGTGTGCACCGAGTGCTCCCGGGGAACTAGCTGCTGCCCCACCCTGCTGCCTCTACATCAGAGGCAGCAGGATGGGATGGCAGCAGCTGTGTGCCAGCAGCAGACTTAAAAGTTGGCTCCCAGCACGCACCAGCTCCTGGGAAGCTGGCTTGCCGCCCCACACTGAAGATGTGTGTAACCATGTAACAGCTGAAATTTTCAGTGGCTATGCAGTTATAATTACCTACTTTTTAACATCTCTAGTATTCAATTACATGCCACTCTTTGGCCTTACTCGTGCTACTGGAGAGAAGTGATTTGATGTCAGAACTCATTCATGCAGGATCGGATTTCCTGGCTTTCTCTGTTCTGCGTTGGACTTTTAATCTGTGCTTATTTGGCAGAGTACTGTGAGCATGGCCTTATGCAGGATCAAACCCTGCCCCCTCCCCCCCCAAAAGAGTTTGCATAGTCTCTCTTTTGCTGGTTAATTTTCATGATAATCTCTTTGATAGTGTCCAGAGCTATTTTACTGTACTGCGTTTCTAATGGAAAATATCTTTCTATTTTAGCAAAATCTCCTGTTGTTTCTGAGATTAGAGCAACACCAACATCACCCAAGGTCAATGAGACTGTCTGTCTTGAAGTTTCCATATCAGATTTCGCACCTGAAAATATAAAAGTTGCATGGTATAAAGAGTGGCTTAAGTTACCTACAGACAACAACTATAAGACAGACACTTCAATTGGAAAAAATGGTTTATGTTTCTGTACAATAAAAGTTCAATTTACTATTGATGCATCTGATGATGGAAAAATGTTCAGATGTGAGATTATTCATCCATCAACAAACTCCTGCACAGAGAAAATGTTTATATTGAAACTTGGTGGTAAGTCAGATTTTTTAACAAAGGGTCTGTAATGGGAGCCACTCTCCTCTTAGGCACTGCTAGCGGCTGAGTGTGGGTCTGCAGTCATTTCTCATCCTCGTGCCTCCGGCAAGCTGCTGGCTGGCCTGAGTAGATCTTCTCTAATTTGGTCCTCGGGCTGAGCCACAGAGTCCAGATGAACCACTTCCAGGATAGTAAAGAGTCCTATAAATGATCAGTCCTATTGCCATTGCAAGGCCGATCAGCCCGGGCTTTGAGGCCTTAGTTTTGGGTCTCAAATAAGTTTGGTCCCCTTCTCGGTATTTATGCCACTGTGGTGGCAGGGAAAACCCAGGCCAACCTAGAGACACTATAAAGAGCAGCTATAATTTTGATTTTAGATGGCTGCCATTTCTTGTTTAGGTCTTTTCCTACTTTGCCCCTTAATGCAGCAAGAAACAAACTCTGGTTCCTCCTCGAACTCTTGTAGTCAGAGCACAGCCCCCTTCTCCGTTCCTAGCAAGGAACGTACCTTTTACAGCTCTACACATGTCCTTTTATTTGAGCCTGCTCTGTTCTGATTGGCTGCTTGCATGCAGCCGCTCTTGGCAGGTTTGGAGTACCCACCATCACTATTCCTTTCTGTATCACTTGGCTGTTTCCTGGGGCAGGGTTTGGCAGAGTAGTGTGGCCTCCTACGGGGAGCCGCAGAGTGCAGGTGCACTCCATCACAGGGCCAGTTTTAGACTGGGTAGCCCCTGACTCCACAAATACATTGATCTGAGTGGAATTGAAGGAAGGGACCGATTGTGAGAGTATTTAGGCACTTAAATACTATTCATCTATAGGCATCTACATACTTTAAAAATGTGCTGCCAGGACAACTCAGCATGAGTAAAGACATCAGGGTCTGCCCCTAAATAAGCTTGAGTCTCTGTATAAGGCTCCGTGTACAATTTGTTGCCAGGGAAGACTCATTTCTGAATGTAGTCCAGGTTTCTCAAACCATCTGTATCCACTTTCTTAGCTAGCTTCATAGAGAAAATGGCCTGTTAGTGAAATAATCATTAAAATGGAGACAGATCTTTTGAAAATGCTCATGTTCAATACTTGGCTTGTTTAAATGATCAGAAAAAATAAGTGAAATCGGCTGGATCCAAAGCCTACTGAAGTCAATGAAAAGGCTTCTGTTGAGTTCAGAGGAGTTTGGATCAGGCCTTCCGACAGTGACTATGAAAACAGATGTTTTAAATAACAGGGGATGGGAACATGTTTATAAGGATGCCATGGAAACATGCAACATTTTGTAATGTGTATAATTGTATTTTTTCCTGCTTATATGTTAACCTGATGATAAATGTATGCTTATTTTAGATAACATAGTATTTCTTCCTGCCCTGCTGATTTTTTAACCTGATGATAAATGTATGCTTATTTTAGATAACATAGTATTTCTTCCTGCTTTACAGGTTCTTCTACCAGCACTGGAGATATAGCCACTCTGACTGCAAATCAGAACCACACACTGAGTGAGTTTTACATCAGACTAAGGCAGATTCTCCTTCTAATATCAATGGTACAATCCATCACCTTGTCCTCCTCAGATACAGGTGATGGAAAGTTTAGTGAGAGATGTGAGAAGGCCACAGGGCTGCCTGTATGGCACCACCCTCCCATTTCTCTTGTGGGTGTGGAATCAGGGATGTGTGCATTGGGGCAGGCAGAATGGTTGTAGCTCAACCCTGTATAGAAAGAATCAACAGGAAAAATACTAACTTGCACAGAGCCCTTTCAGCCATGGAACCCCTTTGAGTGTGTCTGAGGGGGATTCTGGGGTTCATGGCAGGCAGGATAGTTGAAGAAGCCCAGAGAGGGAATATGAATGCACAGGGTTTCCATGTGGATCGGTCTGGCTTCCAGCATATTCACAAGAGCCCTGGGATTTGGGGAGGGAAACCCCTTTTTGTCCCACACAGGGAGGTAGCACACTCACCACTCCTCACTTCCAGCTGGAGGAATAATCCGCTCGAAACTCCACAAATAGAACCTGCTTAGGGATGCATTGAACCTATGGCACTTTGTTTTCCGTTAATTAATTGTGAAGGGGTTGAGTCACCACAGGATTACCTCCTTATGTCCAGCCTGGACATAATGGCTCTTTCCCGAGATGGTACCTTGCCGTTGGTTGCTCAGTGTCTGGGCTCTCTTCCCATAGCTCGGCCCACTGGCCACATCATGATTACTTCCAGAATAATGGAAAGCTGGACATAAAGTAGTTCTGAGTACGCACAGGAAGGTCTTGGGCTCCAACTCTAAGCCCTTGGGCTTCAAACCTTTTTCTTAAGGCTTTCCAGTGTCCTTTCCCTCATATCTTGATTCACACCACTTGGGCCCTCCCATTACACTGGATTCCAGCCCAAGGAAACTATAACCACTAATCAAGTCTGTTGAGTTCCACTCCTTTCTGGGGTTTCCTTGGGCTCCTTCCTATCCAGCCTTTTATTCTCAGGCCATCTCCCCCACAAACTCTGTAAGTTGAACCTTCTCTCTTGCACACAAGAGCCTGCTCCAACCCAGTGGCTACCACCTCTCTAGCTGCTTGCCAGTCTTTTCTTTTCAGTCAAGGTTGCTGCTTTGTCACTGGGCTTCCTCCTACCATTGCTCTGTTCCCAGAGGGTGGCTGCAGGCTCTCTCACCTGGCAGTGCCCCTTCTTTGTCTTCGTTTTATATGATGAGGTTGCTGCACCAAAAAAGATGACAGCCACTTACAGGCAGTCCCCGGGTTACGTACAAGACAGGGACTGTAGGTTTGTTCTTAAGTTGAATTTGTATGTAAGTTGGAACTGGTACATATTGTAGGGGAAACTCTAGCCAAACATTTCTCCAGAGCTCAGTTTTATTCTCCCACACCTCACTTCCCTCAGTCCTTTAGTCTCAAGCTGAGGTGTCTGCTGAGAAAAACCGCTCCGCATCTCCCTGTTCTTCTGGGGGTGGGGGAGCGCATAGCTTCGCGTCTCCCTGGTCTGCTGGGGGGAGCGCTAGCTTCACGTCTCCCTGGTCTGCTGGGGAGAGGGGCGCTAGCTTCACGTCTCCCTGGTCTGCTGGGGGGAAGCAGCTAGTGCGGGGTTGCCTCACCCCGTTTGTAAGTAGGGATCTGATGTAAGTCGGATCCATGTAACCCGGGGACTGCCTGTACTTTGTTAATTTTTAGCCAACTTCCCCCCTCTCCCGCATGTTACAGTCATTCAGTCTTGTTTACGTAAGGAAATTTAGCCAGGGTGGTTTTTTCCCCCCAATATTCAATTTCCCTGACATTCTCATTAATCCCTTTAGAAAAAGTCTTTAATTCCAACTCAGTGTTTCATAAATAAACTTTTTTTCCTATGGAATATTGCCCACAATGCCATAGAACATGATCAACAGTTTCTGTGGTTTTTAACACAATTACACATCCCTCTTTATGTCTTTTTAATAAGCTTAACTTATCATTTAAGGCACAACCAGCTGACATTCTAAAATTGACTACTTCACTTTTTCTATCATGACTTTCCCCATGCATGACTTTTATTGTTGAGCATACATCATAGAACCTTTTGCCGTTTCATTTTCTTGGTCCATAGTTCCTGCCATGCCTTAGCAGGCTCCTCATGGTCACATTTTTAAATCCCTGTCCACTTAAAGGTATCTAAATATCTACCTATGCATTTTTCAGAGCATGTTTTGCTGTTTTGTCAGTCACCTCATTTCCAGGCATTCCAGTATGTACTGAAATTCATCCTATTGTTACACAAATTCTTCCTTGCATTATTTTTGTAGTTAGGATAATTATTTCACTTATGTCATTTCTGCTTTCCCAAGTCCCTGTTCTGATTGTCATAGCACCTGACAGGAATCAGGTAAAATTACAACTGCAGCTGGTCACACATCTCTTAGCCAGGTTAGTGCCAACCTTATCCTCACTGGGTTAGCCATCATAGCAGTCACATAATTTGATAGCCTTTTTAGATTTCTGGGTTCATAGTCTAGGAACATATACAGGCCTGTTTCCATTCTATATGCGCTGTCATCTTTTGAGCCGTCTGTACAGATGGTCAAAGCAGCCCCCATTTTTCGTAAATACATTTTGAAATTTCATTGTTCATAATGTTATTTTACTTTCCTTCATTTTTTTCATACGTCTCCAAATCTACAAATGGTGGAATAACTGCTCAGCTGTAATTTAATTTCCTATGGCTAAACTTTTTTAGTTCACTCAATTTTTGACCCTTATAATCAGGGCTCAACAAATAATGCAATCTACTCACCCGTGGCAAGTAGATTGCAACCCGGAAGAGCTGGGTTTGGGCGATCTGCGCGTGCACAGAATGATCTGCACATGCGCAGATCGCTGGACAGCGTGGCTGGCAAGCGGGGCTCGCTGCAGTTCGGCGAGCCCTGCTTATAATATGAGGACGCCGGTGACGATCCATATAATTTTGTCTACTAGGCTCACAATGAGCTTCATAAATCTGTTGTGCACTTTTTTTTCATGATTTCATTTTACCTTTGCCCCAAAAGTTTGATATAATAGTTTCATCTTTAGATTTACAGGTGCTTTTCCACTGGCCATCTGCAGCACACACACTGGTGTTCTCATTGCTCCACATGCCAGTCTCAGAACTTGGACCTGGGGAGTAGTTCCAGGTTTCTACGAGTTGTTTTTAAGGCTGAACCAAAAGCTTGGGCTCTTCAGTCCAAACAGATGTTATCAATGCTCTGTACACCATCATCAGTACTTCTTATCTGCACCCCATTTGTTTCCAGCTACACTTTTAAATTCATAGAGGACAGGCCCATCAATGGCTATTATCCAGGGTGGGTAGGAATGGTGCCCGTAGCCTCTGTCAGAAGCTGGGAATGGGGGACAGGGAAGGGGTCACGTGAGGATTACCTGTTCTGTTCATTCCCTCCGGGGCATCCGGTATTGGCCCATGTCGGCAGACAGGATACTGACCTACATGGACCTTTGGTCTGACCCCGTATGGCCATTCTTATGTTTAAGTAAGCTACTTTTTGTTATCTATGTGACCAGTCAAAACCTGTCAAAGTAAATATATATCAAGCTATCAAACACTTCTAGGAAATAAGCTTTTTAACTAGCCGCATTTTTTTATCATAAATAAATGTCCAATCCTCTCCTCCCCGCTCCTCCAAATTTCCTTCCTGGTTAAAAGCATTCCTTTTGTTTTTGCAAGAATTTTAATCCCCAATCATTTCCATACCTGGAAATTCTCTGGAATGCCTCATTTATTTGTACATCAGGAAGGGGGGCTAGGGAGGGGTAAGTGGAAGGAGGGGAGGGAGGAATGGGGTACGAGCCCCCGATGGGGAGGACTGGGCTGGCTCTGCGGGCTTCTGCGGGTGGAACCTCTCCTGCAGCCCCCCCATTACCCCCTCCCCCCAGATGGCAGCCTGCGGCAAGTGCAGCCAGTCTGATGGCCGAGTGCTGTGATGTGCCCAGTGTGGGTACTCCGGACAATCCAAGCCAGGACTGCTTTGCAAGCGGGGCACCCCTGAGAACTGTCTGTCCGGGGTGGGGGTCGGGTCCCTTTAAGCACAGCCCTCGGCTTGCCTGAGACAGCAGCTCCACACTCTAAGTCCTCATCTGATGCCCTGCCAGCACTGCTTCCGGCCATCCTTAACCTCTGTTCAGGGTCCACTCAATGTGGACATGCTAGTTCGAATTAGCAAAATGCTAATTCGAACTAGTTTTTAGGTCTAGCTGCGCTAATTCGAATTAGCTTAGTTCGAATTAACTAATTCGAACTAAGTTAGTTCGAATTAGCGCTGTAGTGTAGACATACCCTGAGTGATTTCCTGTATTTTCATTGCTCCTTATTGTCCCCTTACAAATAGCTCCTGCATGTCCATTCTTTTGACAGTTATAGCACTGCATGGGTGGTTTGGTTTAATTGAGCAAGATTGATACCTCATTGGATTGTATCCCACTTTTAAAGGTTATGCACGGAGCCATAGGTGGCTGTTTTTCTTCCTCCTCTTAAGTAGCTCTTTAACAAACAATACATTACTTCTGATAATACTCATTTGGATGTCACACTCAGACAACGCTAGCAGTACTCCGTATTACCCACTCTTGCTTCCATCAGGAATTCAGGCAGTTTAAAAGTCACTTCTACTTCCCCTGAAGTTACAATTTTTAAGACGACTTCTCAGCTTGCCCCTTATATTACATTCAGTCAGTAGATCTCTTTGACCTGCATTCGTTTAGCTCATTGTATGCCACCCCTGCTTAGCTGTATCCATTCTGCCACTTTCAGAGGGTTAACCATTTCCTGTTATCACTGATTTGACAATGATAAAACATTGGCTTTTATCCTGTGTTTGTTTTCCTTGGTATGCATTTCTTTGTTAAAACCTGATATAGCTAGTCCTTTGTTCTGATCTGAGACATCCCTTATTTCCTGTTGCTGCTTCTTCATAGGTCAAGGCAGCTCCCCCCAGCTCCTTGTCAGTTTCAATGCTCAACCTCCTGTCAGAGATCAGCCACAGCCTTCCATCCAACCTGCTCTTACAGTCCAGTCTTGCCACCTTCGTCCAGATGTCAGCATACACCCCCAGCCCTGCCCAACCTAACCCCGCTCCAGTTCTTTCCCATCTTCATCCTGCAGCCAGCCAGTCCCTTTTTTGCGACAGATTGCCTCCTTATACTAACTAGCTTGTTCCTGCCCAGCGGGGCGTCATGATCAGTTAAGCCTGGGTCCCTCTGGGTGCAGCCAGCTAACATAATTGGCCTCTCAGGCCCACCATAGCCCATTCAAGGCCCCTCTTGGGTTCACACTCCATCACATTAATATAACAATAAAAGATAGCAGTGACATGGAAAACATATACCTAGCAGCAGAACACGTCCTAATCAGTGAATGCAGCTGATGAATGAAATGGCCCTGGTGCTGAGGCCTTTATTTGTAATTTTCTTTTTCTGTTAATTGTATCTATCTTTAGGCCCTGGACTCATCAGTCAAGAGATTAACACCCTGAAGATAGAGTGCACTACTAGCAACCCAAAGGCTGGTGAGGATGTGACACTTCGCTGTTTTATACCTGGAAGGACTGCAGACAGTACTTGTGTTTCCTGGTTTAAGGGGAAATACCTCATTGAAGATGGAATAGAGAACACAGACTGTGAGGATGAATCTGGTTTTAATTCTTCTGTGACTTTTAAACCTGAAGAACAGGACAAAGAATGTAAGATGAGATGCGAGGTTTTTAACGATGAGGACTCTCTTGAGGATTCATACATTTTAAAACTTGCCTAATCTCCCTTCAGTGAAGAATATGGCCAAACAGCAATTCTATTTCAGTGTTTCAAGGGTTCAGTGAACAGTTACCCCATTTAAAAAACAAACAAAACTAAACTTCTTTCGGGAATTAAAACTTTATCATCGTATCCGGATACACTACTCATGAAAACCAGGGCTTAAGAAAATATGGACTATTCAGGACTCAAGAGCTTCCACAAGGCCTGAAGTTATCTAGGCCACTTTCCCCCATCCTGAAATTATTACTTATTCCCCATTATTTACTTTGATTTCTCAGCCAAAGACTGTAATAAACCTCTGTGAGAACAAAGGAAAATGGTTTTAACAGTGGAGTGAATCCTTAAATAAAATACATTTTCATCAAGACAAAAAAATAGGAACTTTTTTTTTAATTGGGGTTTTGGTTTGTTTGGTTTTAATATACAATGTAAAAAAACAAAAATCATTTTAGAGAATTTGATGAGCAATTCACAAACCACTGACCTGTCAGTGAATTCTTACCAATCTACAACCCACCTGAGAAATTTGCTCATCTTATCCCTACTCTCTTTGCATCCCCAGGCATTCATTATTTCCTGTCTACTGCCAATCTCTACCCCTTTGCCTTTGGATCTATTTTCCCACCCACTCTGTCTCTTGAGTTGCTGGTTTCCAACCCAGGTTAAGAGAGAAAACATAAAAAGAGCTAAGCACTCACTAGCTGAAAGAGTAGGGGAGAGTTTTAGTCAGTAACTGATAAGGACAGAATTGTTCTGTTGAGACAGAGCTGGCTCTTGCTCCCAGATTGAAAGGACCAGCTAGCGTTACAGGAATCTCTTGATGCCACTTGGCAGAAGGCACCGGAGGGGAGGGGGAGAGGAGGAAGGCGGGGTTATAGAGTTTACAGAGATCACCTGGGTCAATTCTATGCATAATAATTAATAAAGGATGGTGTGACCATATGCTTCATGAAAATATGCTTATGAAATGAATGACATAACAGATTCACTTTATGCAAGATGGCTCATGTAAGATATCACTGGAAAGGTTATGATTTGCTGAAAATGATTATCCCACTTGTATCATTTTTGTAGCTGAAGTGAGGACCTGTATATCTGTGTTCCCTATATGCTGCTTTGGGCCACTCCCACAGCTATCCTTTCAGGGACTATAATGGAAAAACCAGACAGGGCTAATGGCCCATCAGCTAGTACAGTGCACTGTGAATGGCCTATCTCAGGAGGTTCCTTACTGCTACTGGAAGGTGACAGAGAAAGGCCATGAGGTAACATTGGCCTTTGTTTCTCTTACCTGATAGTCTTTTTTATGTGTTTTAAATTTTTTAGCCCAGCCTTATACCGTCTTTTAGTGAATCTAACCCGCGTGTTATATTTGTTTTTACAAACCCTGCACGCCACCATGGGCTATACTCGTGCACTCAGTATATAGAGTTTTTTTTACTTGACGGAAGAGGATCCCCTCTCCCCTACCCTTTCACTACCATTGCCCAGCCCGCTACCTAACAACACGGGGAAACTTACAAGGGGCGCAGCAGCCGGGAATGCTCCAGAGCCGGGGCAGAGGCATCCCCAGCAGAGGCGCAAGGCGGGAGGCTCCCAGCCCGGGCTGACAAAGGGAAGGAGCCCGGAGTAAGTTGCTCGGCGGCCAGCAGCCGTGTCGGGAGTCTGCAGGTGGCCACGACTCACAGGAGCAGGACCGGGGCATGGTGCTTGTTGCTCGTTGCTCCTGCATGATCCAGCCAGGCACCCTTCCCTGCCTGTAGCTGCTGCTGCATGCTGGATCCGCTGCGCTCTTGCTTGTTGCTCCTGGGCTGGGACATGGTTCATGGTGGCGGGGCAGGCGCTGGCCCGGGAGCAACATGCGAGCGCGCAGCGGATCCGGCATGCGGCGGTTGCAGGCAGGGAAGGGAGCTCAGCTGGATCGTGTAGGAGCAACGAGCAACAAGCACCATGCCCTGGCCCCGCTCCTGTGAGCCGTGGCCACCTGCAGACTCCCACCACTTCTGCTGGCTGCTGGGCTACTTGCTCTGGGCTCCTTCCCTTTGTCAGCCTGGGCTGGGAGCCGCCCACCCTGCCCCTCTGCTGGGGATGCCTCTGCCCCGGCTCCGGAGCGTTCCCGGCTGCTGCGCCCCTTGTAAGTTTCCCTGCATTGTTCAGTTGCGGGCTGGGAGCCTAACACCTCACACCATAAATATACCCCTGCACTCTAAATATACCCCCAGCACAATCTTGTATACCCCACGGGTTATACTTGTGCGCAGGGTATACAAGATTTTTTTTACTGAAATAGCAAAAACCGTGGGGTATATTCGGGTGCGGGGTTATATTTGGGTGCAGGGTATATTTGCTAAAATATGGTACTCTTTTTCTAACTCTTTTCCTTTATCTCCTCTTTGCTCCCTTCCCCAGAGATGGGTCTTAAAGGGGACAGTGTTCCAATGCCTGCTCCAGCCTCATTCATGCCTAGCCTTAGATCCCTTCTTGTTATCCTGGAGCAGCTGGGGGTGCAAGCCCTCATGGAGGGCTCTGCCACATCTCTTTGCTCCAGGATCCTTTTGGGGCAGAAGGAGCTGAGGGTTTAGCTCTAGCTCCTCTCCCCCAGTGCCTCCCTGAAGAGAGACTTGGGGAAATAAGACCCAGGGGAGATTGGGACATGACAGGAGAAGGCTGATGGAGGCCTCTCTCTCTCCTTCCATTAGAACTCAGCACCATTCCCCAAACTAAGAAAGTTGGTGGCTTAACTGTGACTGCGCATCACTGACCCAGCCAAGGACATCAGCTGGCTGGTCAGGGACAGGATTTAAGTGGCTTTACAAACTGCTGTTACGCTACAGGTAAGAAACCCAGCTGAGAAATAGAACTCAATAGAAAAGTGACTGTAACATGGTGCAACTCACCAGCACAGCGACTCCTGCTGGTCACTCTGAGAATTAGCGCTGCTCAACACCTGAGTGCCCTCTTCCAGCTGTTGTTGCGCCTGCTGTTCCCTGTTAATGGCCCTGCCAACCTGTGTTAGGAGCTACGTCCTTCCCACACGGTGGTGCCCTTCCCTCTAAGTACTGCCCCACAGCAGTGCCCCCACTCTCTGGAGTCTCCCACTCAGAGACCCCCCAGCCTCCTATACCCGCCTGGCCTCAGTGTGACCACACTGCCAGTCATCAGCTAGCCCCTTACCTCAGGAGCAAACTACAGTCTGACATGGCCACTCATCATAAGTAAGGGGGTGTGGACTTAGGGTGCCCTGCCCTACCCGGACTGCCTCCCTGCAGCCCTAGTATCTCTCAAGCTCCTGTCAATGGGCCTCAGCCTGGGCCTACTAAAGCTGAATTTCCTCTGGCTCATCCTGCCTTTCCCCAGCACTGCTCTGTCTATGGAAGATGGGCTAGCAGGCAGCTAGATAGTTCTCCCTCCAGAGTTGAAGTGACACTGTACTCAGCTTGACCAGTCTTCTTTTATACACTCCTCCTGGGCTCTGATTGACTGCCACAAGGTCTCTCATGATTGGCCTCCTAGCTACAACCCTCTCTCAAGGTTTTTTAACCCTTTTTATGCCTGGAGTGGGGTAACCACCCTGCTACAGTGATACAGAGAAAACAGGTAAAGGGAACATTAAAGAAATGATTCTCTCTCCTATGACCCCAGCTGGAGGATGAGTCTGTCTCTCCTCCTCCTGTTCAGTTTAGGATCAACCCCCTCTCCCCAGGCAGCAAGGTTACTCCACCCCCTGTAGGGAGCTCTGCTATTCTGTTGGGTCAGGTATGCAACCGAGTGGGAATGGAAGAACAGAGCCACCAAAACTAGACAGAGAAATCTGTCACAGAGAAGCTGCTAAGGAACAGCTGTCATAGAGAGTGGGAGGGAATGGAGGTAGGAGCTCCTCCTGCAACAGGGTGGAGGGTGTCTGGCACTGGAGGTCACTAGAGAAGAATAGAGTCTATCCCAGGGTGCCATGTGCCATGAACCCTCCCTGATTCCTGGGGACAGCTAAGTCTCTGACAGGTCCTTGTTCTCTTGAGACAAGAGAACTCATGTCCAAGGTGATGTACCAGCTCCATTCCATCCCACCCTTTTGCCAGGTGTCCTTGGCACTGCAGGGGCTAGGCCCCCTTTAGGATGCTCTGATGGAGTGTGGAACCCCACACTGGGCCAACAGAGAATGAGAGCCTGACTCGGGGAGATGCTGAAGAAAGGTGCAGCAGGTGGCCTGGCTGTAGGAGAAAGTCTGCCATAGCAGATGCCCTGGGCCTGAGAGCAGGCAGCCTTTGCCTAAGACTCCAGAACCCTTTGCTCTACCACCTGGAGGATCATGGGGGAGGCATGTGGCCATATGCCCAGTGGAGTGAGAAGACCCAGGCTCCCACACTAACCATTGAACTCAGACATCTTTTCTCTCTTTTGGGAAGGAGGAGAGGGGAGAGACACAATAAACCCTGAGCCATTCACAGGAGCCAGAGGGCTACAGACCATTTCCTTTGGGGGAGATGCTGGACTGTACATTCTGTTGCACTCTGTGAATCTGGAACTTGGTGAAGTGGCCGGAGGGCTCATATCCCTGTCACCAACGCTGGCTGATCCCACGCTGCCTCTTACCCCCATTGGCACTATTTTATGGGAGGCAGCCCCACAGTATCCATCACAGGGAAAACTTAGAGTCCCTGCCGGTTTTGTTGTGGGAGAACCTGCTGAAATCTGCCAGTTTTGTTGTGGGAGAACCTGCTGAAATCTCAGAACCAGGAACGGACCGACCACAGTGGGCCAGAATTTGAAAATTTAAACCCAGGGAGAGGGTTTGTTGTTGCTGCCAACCTTGAAATAGAAGCTGCTGGCTGGCCAAGTTGCAAGGATCTTTGAAGTTTATAAACAGGGCAAGGGCAGTTGATGATGGTATCTGCCATGCAAGGAACAGACATGAGACAGAGGCTATACCCGACCATCTGGACCTACTGATGACATGGGAAGATCAATAGGGCCTCCTCATTGTGCCCTTTTCACCTGAGCTTGGGCTGCCAGTGCCCTTAATCCATGACACTGGCATGAAAGGAATCAGTAAATACAATGAATCAGAGACCCCCACTTGGTGTTCAAAACCTGGCCAGACCATTCTGATGGAGACTTCCATCAAGTGCTGACCATTACGGGGAAAAAGAGCCCTGAGAATCTATAACCCACTGGGAAATGGTCTGCCAGACATTTTTCACTGTGTTGGCCCTCAGGGTCATTGGGGAATCTCCAAGTGCAGCCTCTGTCAAGCTGGGTCTCCCAACAGGGTCACACGGTGAGTGAGGGGAGGTTGTGAGTAGGGTCACTAGCTGTCCAGGTTTTCCCAGACATGGCCTCTTTTTTGGTCCTCAGGTCTTCCTCA